TGCCTCCACCTAGGAAAAAAGTAAACCAAAAGAAATACTGCATTCCTGGAGGGACTGCAGAGATTAGTGCCACCATGAAGGACTTGAAAGATGCAGGGGTGGTGATTCCCATCACATCCCCATTCAATTCACCTATCTAGCCTGTCCAGAAGACAGATGGAACTTGGAGAATGACAGCGGATTATCATTAAGCTTAACCAGGTGGTGACTTCAAATGCAGCTGCTATACCAGATGTAGTTTCATTGCTTGAGCAAATTAACACATCCCCTGGTACCTGGTATGCAGCTACTGATCCGGCAAATGCCTTGTTCTCCATCACTGTCAATAAAACCCACCAGAAGCAGTTTGCTTTCAGCTGGCAGAGCCAGCAATACACCTTCACTGTCCTACCTCAGGAATATATCAACTCTCCAGTCCTACGTCATAATTTAGTTTGCAGGAATCTTGATCACCTTTCCCTTCAACAAGGTATCACTCTGGTCCATTACATTAATGACAGTATACTGATTGGACCTAGTGAGCAAGAAAGAGCAATTACTCTAGACTTATTGGTAACACATTGGCATCTCAAAGAGTGGGAAATAGATCTGACAGCCTCTTTTCCCAGCCATCCCTGTCAGTGCCCAATGGGTTCATGAACAAAGTGGCCATGGTGGCAGGGATGGAGGTTATGCATGGACTCATCAATACAGACCTCCACTCACCAAAGCCAACCTGACTACAGCCACTGATGAGTGTCCAATCTGCCAGCAGCAGAGACCCATACTTAATCCCCATTACGGCACCATTCCCCAGGGTGATCAGCCAGCTGCCTGGTAGCAGGTTGACTACGTTGGATGCCTTCCATCATGAAAGAGGGAGTATTTTGTTCTTACTGGAATAGACACTTTCTCTTTCCCCACATGCAATGCTTCTGCCAAATCTACTATCCATGGACTTACAGACTGCCTTATCCAACATCATGGTATTCCACATAGCATTGCTTCTGATCAACGAGCTCACTTCACAGCAAAAGAAGTGCAGCAATGGGCCTATGCTTGTGGAATTGACTTGTCATACCGGGTTCTCCAACATCCTGAAGCAGCTAGTTTGATAGAATGGTGGAATGGCCTTTTGAAGATTCAGTTACAGTACCAGGTAGGTGGTAACACCTTGCAGGGCTGGGGCAAGATTCTCCAGAAGGCTGTATATACTGGATCAGTGTCCAATACAGTCACTGCACTCCATAATGACATTTCAGTCAATGACGAACTGCATATACAACTGTGGTCCAATAGGATTAGTACCATATAGCCTAGGTGTATAGTAGGCTATCACATCTAGGTTTGTGTAAGTATATTCTATGATGTTTGCACAACGACAAAATCGCCTAACAACGCATTTCTCAGAACATATCCTCGTCATTAAACGATGCATCACTGTATATGGTGCTGTTTCTCCCACAGCCAGGATTCACAGATCTAGAAATTAACAGTAAAAATGGGATTGTTACTACTCACTGTTACCCCAAGTGAACAAGGAAAGAATGTCCATTTTCACTATTCTTATTTAACATAGTATTGGAAGTCCCAGACAGCACAAAAAAAGCAAGAAAGGAAATAAAAGGCATATAGATGGAAAGGAAGAAACAAAGCTGTCCAATTTGCAAATGACATGATGGTCTACATAGAAAATCCCAAGGAATCTACCAAAAAAGCTCCTAGAACTAATAAGTGACTTCAGCAAAGTCACAGGATATAGTATCAACATACAAAATTTGATTGTATTTTCATAAACTATCAGTAAACATGTGGCAACTGAAATTAAAAACACAACACCATTTACAATCACTCTAAAAATTAAAACAAGTATAAATCTAATAAATGTATAAGACATATAAGCTGAATATTACAAAATGCTGATAAAGGAAATCAAAGATCTAAATAAATGAGAGACATACCATGTTCATGCATTGGAAGACTTAATAAAAATGTCAATTCTCCCCACATTCATCTATAGTTCTAAATACAATTCTTATCAAAATCTCAGTAAATTTTTTTTTTTGCAGATACAGACAATTTTACTCTAAAATTTACATGGAAAGGCAAACAACCCAGAAGAGCGAAACAATTTTGAAAAAGAAGGAAGTGGAAAGAATCACTCTACTCAATTTTAAGATTTACTACATAGTACGGTTATCAAGAGAGTATGGTATTAGAGAAGAGACAGACACAGATCCATGTAACAAAAGAGAGAACCCAAAAACAAGCCCAACCAAATATACCCAATTCATTTTTGACAAAGGTGAAGAAGTAATTCAATCGTGAAAAGACAGTCTTTTTCACAAATGGTGCTGGCACAATTGGAGATCAACAGGCAAAAAAACAAACCTTGACTAAAGTCCAACACCTTATATAAAAATTAACTTAAAATGCATCATTAATTTAAAAGTAAAATCTAAAACCAGAAAACCTTTAGAAGAAAACATAGGAGAAACTCTTCAGGAACCAGGGCTAGGCAAAGAGTTCTCATACATGACACCAAAAGCACAATCCATCACAGAAAAAATTGATAAATAGAACTGTTTTAGAGATAAAGATTTATTCAGTTTGCCAATTTGTACTAAAATATATTTTACTACGCGTTTGCCATTTCATTTTCTAGTATTTCCAATATGACTCCTTCATTAATCCTTACAAGCTCATGAGTACTAAGCATTCTGACTCTTATTGTACCGATGAAGAAATGATTCACATAAGTAAGCAACTGTTCATGGTAATTGTAAAAACCCTGAGTCTGAATCCAGATAGTTCTATCTTTAGATCCTATCCATACTCTTTTAATGTCACCGTACTATCTCTAAAATCCAGAAAATCAATCTAAACTTATATATACTGCTCATGGAAGTGTAAATTAGAACCATAACTTGGGAAATCCAATTTTCACATTATCAAGTAAGGTTGAAGATACACAAAATCTATCTAGATAGAAACCCAGCAAGTCTCTTTAGATGGAAACTCACACACATTTCTGTCCTCTCTCCTAAATCAACCATTATTCTGAGTGTGCTGGTTATTCCCAGCAGCATACAAACATGCAGTAAAACCTTCTATAGCATTCTCTACAGCTGTCTCCAATTCCTCTCTTCCCATTCTCTACTGAAGTTCTCCAACACAGCTTTCATTTCCATCAATTCACTGAAACAGCTTTTGTGAAGATCACCAATGACCTCAACACTGTCAAATCCAAAAGTAAATTCTCAGTCCTCCTCTAACCTGACTCATCTTCATGACTAAACTAATTACTCCCATTTTCTTCATTTGGTGTTCAGGATCTCTCCCTTGATCCTGGTTCTCAGCCTATCTTACTAGAAATCCATTTTCAGCCTCTTTTGCTGGTTCCTCCTCATCATCCTGACCCTAAGGCTGAGATGCCCTAGGGCTCAATCTTCAGATCTCTTCTCTTTTCTGGCTACACTGACATCTCTGGTGATCTCAATTAGGACCATAACTTTAAATATTATCTCTACGCTAATGAGTCCCAAAACTTTTATCTCTAACCCAAATGCTCTCCCAAACTCCACACTCAACTTCTCCACTTTCATATTTAAGTGGCATCTCAATTTAATATTTAACATGTCTAAAACCTAACTCCACCAACACTGCAACTTGCTTTTCCCACAGTTTTCTTAATCTAATTAATGGCACCAATCTTAGAGCTATTTAGGCCAGAACCTTCAAAGTTATCTTAGTTTCTTCTCTAACATCCCATGTCTAATCCAAAAGCAAATCAAGTTATCTCTTCCTTCAAAGCATCAGAATCTGTCCATTCTTCATCATCCCCTCTGCTACCACCCTAATCCAAGATATCATCATCTTTCACATTTGTGAGGAGAAAACAACGCTCTTAGCCATTTTCCATTTTTGTAGGTAAGGGCTAGTTACACCACCCCCTTGACAAATCATTAGCTCTAAAAGCAGGAACAAGGTGAGGCAAATTGAGCTAAGAAACTGGGTGCTTTCAAAGCATAATATGCTTTAGGCTTTCATGAAAAGAAGGTAGTAGGAGAGATTCTTGGGGTATCTTTATCATCAAGCCTGGCACAGCAGTGTAGGACAGCAGCTAGGGATTCAGAGAAGTGGCCATAGCCAAGATAGTCTGGTATATATTCAGCTGGGGCATCTCCTACAAAGCATCTTGAAGACCAGATAAACTCTACACGCTGAATCAAGTAAAAGAGACTCACTCTTATCATCTGGCATAGTTGGCATCTTGACATTTAGAAAACCCGTAAGACTTTTTTCTACCATCAAAGAAACTAACTGAGAGACTTGCACAAGTTAGTTAGATAAAATGACCTTGGGCAAGTCACTAGACAGACTGAAATATATGATAATGGAGAAAACTTCAGTGGATTGGAGTTATGGATTGGAATACTTCAAAGTATTCAACAATGGATACTTCTTTCAGGAGTAAAATTATTTTAGGTAGCAGATTTAAAAAGTCTAGAACTGTTTAAAGTTCTAGCCTTCAAAAAGTCATTTAAGAAGTCTAGAACTCAAAATTCCCAAAGACTATCTAAGGCAGATTCCCTCTGAGGTGTTAACATGGAAGGCCTCTCAAAATATCCCTAGTGCCAATGCCACAAAGATAGAATACAGGATTAGGCAGATCATTATCCTAACCTAGTACGACATTCCAATCAAGAACGACATGGTAAGGGCACTAGTCTTGACTCAAGGGTCCTATAGTGTTCCTTTTACCATTAAGTATATAACCTTGAATAAGAAAAGCATTAAGAACTCTTACAGCCGTAAATTTACATAATTCTATGATTTATTTACTGAGTACATACTACATCTCAGACACTGAGATAGTTGCTGTGAGGGATACAAATAATTACAAATAAAGTACTGATATTCTTATTTTAGAATTGAAATGAATAGAAGGTCACCTGAATACTCCTATACCTTCATTAGGCACAATGAAAATATCCTAAAAAAGCAAATTAAGTATGTACCTTTCAGTGCTGTAGTCTTTTCTTTTTCATCTGGACCTCCCTGCTGAATTTGTGACATGCTTATCCAAATTGGCAACAAAATTAAAGAGCTCAAGGAAATAGACATCAATCTTCAGAAGACAGTCTAGAATGAATGAAAGCAATAAATTAACCTCTACTCAATCCTACCTTCTCCACAAGAACTTCCTAGATCCTCCCAGTTCGGATTAATCTCTCTATCCTGATTTCCCACTACATTTTGTTGATGCCTATACCACAGTACTTATCACAGCCTGCCTTGCGTCATAGTTATTTATGTATTTGTCTGGTTCAGCTAACAGATTACAAGCCCCAGGATAGAAGTATCAAGTTTTTGTCATCTTTATATCTCTCATGTCACCAAACACAATACCTTATACATAAAGATACCTTAGGTTGCTGAATTGAATTTAGCTAAACTTACTATTTAGGTTTAGTTCTCTATCATGTAGTGTTTTTAAAAAATATCTTCAGGTAGTTTTAAAAACTTGAAATTTCTTCTAGAATAAACTGTAAGCATATGCGATTTACAAGGTTAGAATGTCTTCCTCCTGGAACATGCAGTCAGAAGGAGAAAAATACATAAATACATAAAGTAGCTAAAAATTACCTCTAGTGTAATTCAAAATACAACTTTAAGGGAAAAAACTAGCTCTTTTAAAAATAAAACTATGCCAAATTCAATGTCTGGAAACCATACTCCATAAATGGCACTCCAGTAAATAATCATAATATAAAATTATGATTTATTAAAATCGAATTCTGCTCTACTTTGGCTTAAACTATAAATAGATAGCTTTTCCCAGGGGGCCCATGAACAGTAAAAAAAAAAACCACTATTCCTAAAGTTTAAAAGAAAAAAATGCAATACATGCAATGGAAAAAATTAAACTAATTTAGTCAATCCACAACTGTTAACGAAATTATATAAAAACTACATTCACGACAATAATAAAACAAGATTAAATATTACTCTGATTGAGGAACCGAAGTGATTTGCTACCCACAAAGCAAACTACAGTTAATATTCAGAAGTATTTTATAACTATTTTCTAAAAATGAAGCATATTCATGATCAGCGGAGTATAGCAGAAAATACTTTTAAAAACCCAAATACTGAAAATAATATTTTAAAACTATGAATATTCCAAATAGTGATAAATCAATACTGCCCTTAGCTCAATTCTAACCGTAGGTGAGGTGGTATAAGAAGAAGGGCCCTCCAGCTCTACCACTAACTAGCCATGTGCCCTTGACAAATTATTTAACTTCTCTGTGCTTTATTTTCCACATTTGTAAAATGGAAATGATAAGCATGCTTCCCTCATAGTGTTACAGCGAGGTTAAACGTAAAACATTTAGTATAGTGCCTGATGCATAATTAAGTGCTCAACATATGTAGGCTTATATTCTGTAACTGTTGTAAATGTATCCTAGCTTCACCACCTAATAATGCCTCTGTGGCCAGGGACAAGTCATTTAATATTCAAAATCTTCAGTTTCTTCATTTATAATGTAGCTCATATAACAGTGGTTGAAAATTAATATTATAGAAGGTTCGTATAGCTGATCATTGCTATTACTAGCAGTATTATTGCTTCCCAATGGTGTGAGGATTCCTAATATAGGAAATACTAATAGAAAATAAGACTTTTTGACTGGGAAAGCATTTTCACTTAGCATGGAAGTAGTTGTTATTTTTCTTCTGTGAATAGGTAACTCAAAACTCTGTAAATTCTGTGTGAATAAAATGTGTCTACATTCCTTCAAGAAACAGATCCTAGTCTATAGGGTGGGCCATGAGCAAGACACCAGGGTGCAATGGTGAGTAAAACAGACATGGCCACAACCCAGGAAGGGGCTTACTCTCTAACTACCAAATCAAACTGCCAAATAGCCACAGATAAAATATATAAGACCTAGACTGTTAATTATAACAGTTATTAAAAAGCTATATATATACAAGGGCCATCCATTTACATTCAGGAATTAGTCTTATCTGTCAAGTCCCACAAGTTCGTGCACAAGTTTCACCAGAAACTCCTTATTATACACCATGCTGTAGCAAAAATTAAAGAGAAATGTTCATAATGAGAGATTCCACACAGTGTTCTTTCCTAACAATCCCACAACTAAATTATCTACAGGGGACTTCTTGCATTTTTTCACTCTATCCTTCTGCTAATTCAGTACTTCTTCTAAATATATAAACTGCCAGGTTACTTTTCATTGGCCCCAAATTGTCTGGTTTCTAAACAGAACAATTTATACGATTATATTAGTGTGACTGTTTTAACAAAAGTGCAATTATAAAATATTTTTGGTGCTAGAGTCATTTTCAAGACTCACATTTTTTTTTTTTTTTTGTGAGGAAGGTCAGCCCTGAGCTAACATCCATGCCAATCCTCCTCTTTTTGCTGAGGAAGACCGGCCCTGAGCTAACATCTATTGCCAGTCCTCCTCCTTTTTCTCCCCAAAGCCGCAGTGGATAGTTGTTTGTCATAGTTGTACATCCTTCTAGTTGCTGTATGTGGGACATGAAGCGGTGCGTCGCTGCGCGCTCGGGATCCGAACTCGGGCCGCCAGTAGCGGAGCGTGCGCACCCAACCACTAAGCCATGGGGCCGGCCCCTAAGACTCACATTTTAAAGTTCTGGGGATCTAATGTATAGCATAGTGACTATAGTTAACAATACCGTATTGTATACTTGAAAGTTGCTAAGAGAGTAGATCTTAAAAGTTCTCACCACAAAAAAAAAAAGGTAACTATGTGAGGTGATGGATGTGTTAACTCACCTTACTGTGGTAATCACTTGTATGTCAAATCATCACACTGTTACACCTTAAACTTACATAATGTTATACGTCAATTATATCTCAATAAAGCTTGAAAAAAAGCTCTAAATACTCTACAGCATTTAATAACACATTGTCCCTTTAGACTCTGATCTCCATGACGACAGGTATCATGTCTGTCCCTAGCATAATGTCTGGCACGTTTGGAGCTCAATGGATATTTGTCAAATTTACAAATAAATAAGCAAAAGATAGAGGGAAAAAAGAAAATCCACATTTTAAAGAATCATTTTCAAGATTCCCAAGATTAAATATCAATTAATAATCATATTCTTATTTTACATGAGACAACCGAAAAATACATGTCACAATTCACTGAAGTGATGATAAATAAGTTAGGAGACTACTAATCACTATCTGTGACCCTAAACCTTACAGCAGCAGATGCAAAGCAGGTAAGCATGAAGCTAAAGCAATCTGTCTGTTGCTCTCTAATTCACTGCCAGATTTTTTACCTTCTCGAGTTATTTTCCATGGCTGTGGCCCAGCTGGTGAAGCTAAATCAGAACATTATAAATTCTCAACTTAGTTTTCCTAATAAAAATTCAGAGTTATAACATGCATGACAACAGATAAACAGTACTGAAAATGCAGCCAGCAAGCCCTTTGATACATTTGATATATATTAATATGTGCACTCGATGTAGTTTATTTAGTATTATCTGATGGACGTTAGGTTATAGGGAATAAAGTGGTGGAAGGTTTTTACTGATGTGAATTGGGACACAGTTGACATGTTATATACTTCATGATAACCACGGCTGTTTAAATATGGTTTCCTAGAAATGGTTACGGTATAAACTAGATTCAACATCTCAGTTTGCGATTTCATTCTGTGAACTACACAAAGCAATTATCATATCTTCTTCCCTTCTATGATTCCAACAGAGAACCCACTATGTATAAATAAAGCTATAAATAACTTGTCATGTGTAACGGTTATCCAGTCAGCATTTCAAAACATGAAACAGTAGACTATTTCTTAGTTGTCCTGTTTGCTCAAAATATGGCATAAGCACTTACAAAATGTGCAGAAGGATACACAGAAGCTTCAGTTTTCTACATCTGTTTGTTTTTAGGCAGGTAGCAAATAGGAACTAGATACAGATGATTTTGCAAGAGAAGGCCTTTCCACCTCATATTCTGAATGCAGTAATGAAAGTACAAAATATATCACAAGACAAGTAAAATTGGGTTAATTCCCTGGGGCCCTTGGAGCTGGTTTGGTCCCAAAGATCAATGCTCACCAAGTCAGGCTCTAGTTGTTCATCAGCAAAGTTTTTAGTTCATAATAATCCTGGACAGTTTATAGTTCTGAGGCTACAGTGTGAAAAATATGCTTTGAAGCGTGTGTGTGTACGCAGATATACGGGCACTGGGGAAGAGGCTGGAGAATGAGGGCATCAGGCTGGAGCAGACATGGAAAACAATGCCCAGGATAACATGGGCTCTTGGTGCATAGAAAATGGTGGTTTCTATAGAGAATATAACCTATGTTTGGATCAAGGTTTAGCTCAGACTAGGAATACCTGGTTCCAATCCAAACCTATCTAAAATAATTCCTTCGTTTCCCAAGCAATGTGATATGATAGGTTTGGAAGGAGAAAGCTAGGTTATTAATATCAATTCCACCACCTAGTAGCTCAGTGACCTTGAGAAAGTCACAAGTTCTCTAACCTAAGTAATGGGAATAAAAAAGAAAATAAGAGCACTTCCCTTTACAGGGAGATTATGAAGAATATATGAAAGAATGCACACAAAAATATTTTTCAAACTATAAATTCCTCTATAAATATTAGTAAGCCACATACTATCAGAAATAATTGGGTTCCAATTAATTTGTGCTCAAACCTAAGAAGAATTTCCAAATCAGTCCAGCTTACAGGAATGAGAAACTTTTGATGTGCATCATTTAGATGAATTCTAAGAACAAATAATAAAGCCCCACAATAAATACCTGTTGAGTTGACTTGGGTTTCCAAGACTATACTGAAAATAATCATAATTGAATTTAAATTAATTTTTTGGTATAATTTGTTTACTTTTTTTTTCCAATCTTATTAAAACATGTGCCTGGAAAATGTTCAAGCATGTGAATTTCACCTTCATTTAGATTAAAGTTGTGTCCAAAGAAGAACACTGTTCCAATTATCTCCTAAATACACACACTGGTCACAAAGTCACTGAGTCCTTTCATACCCATTATCGTATTAGGTCATCGCCACAACTGGCAGGGTAGGCAGAGTTAACA